GAAGAAGTGGCGGTGGAAAACCCTTTGTCCAGGGGTGGACACACACACACACACACACGAGTCAAACGGCGTGATGTTCGTTTCCGCAGCCCAAAAACCGCGGAAACCGCTGAAAGCTGCCGTTCCGTGTGTAAAAGCCTAAGCACATCATGAAAAACCAGCTTTTCACGCCTCGTTTGGCATGGTGGGCTCTTCACGTCGGTTGGATGCGCTACGATTGCTACGATGTTTACTGGGATGCTGGTCTACATCCAAGTCGAGTTGGAATCATATGAATTGTGCTCACTGGACGAAGCCCCGGCACCAAGGTTTTAGCTGATCCCCAAAAAGGACACGCTTTGGCACTCGAAGGAATCTCCTCAAAAATTGGGCGCGCTCAAGCTGCAACGGCTACTGCTTGGTGGTTTCAACTCGATTGACAGTTATTAGTCAGTGGGATGGAACATTTTCAAGCAAAGGTTGAAGCAAATCTGAAACTACCACCAAATGTAGACTAGCCACATCTCTTTGACGTTCACCGTGCCGCTCTTGTCGGCATCCAGCTCCAAAAAAAGCACCTCGGCACAAAAGAACGGCGGCTTGCTCGGTGGAGCTTCTTTTTGAGCCTAATCCTGCCCGAAGAACCACGAAGCCCAACGAGAAAGTATAGCAACCACGATTTCTGAAAAGGGATCCTAATCATCGCCATACGGGAAGATCAGAACAAACATAAAAGCTTCTTGCTGCAAACGACGATGCCTTTGTTACTAGTAGCGATGCCCTTGTTCCTAGTAGCTTCTTGTTCCTAGTAGTAAGGCCAGGAGCTACCCGGTACCCATAAATTTGTTTTTGGAAAAAGCTACACCAGTAAGAACCCAAAAAGGCTCTGGAGAGATATGGAGAGATGGACTGTGCCAAATCCCAAACACCCTCGTCTCGCAGGATGGATCTCTGATGCACAAAGGGTATTGATTGGGGTCTCTGTCGAGCAGAGTCGAGCACCACAAGTTCTCCATCCAGAGTGCTGAAGAGAAGGTCTCTCTAGTGAAAGGCTTCAGCCGGTCTTTTAGAGGAAGACCGATCACAGACCTTGGTGGGTCCTTGGTACAGTCGACTCATCACATTTCCTGGTTTCCTCGTTGTGTGACCTGAGGAGCGAGAGGATCTCGCCGCTCGATATTGCTTGGCTCCGGAGCAAGACCCAGGGGTGAGTGAAAACGAGCCCTTCATAATACATGCTATGTCTTTATTCATCTCTCAGTTCTTGGAAGGGTCCCAATCATCCAAATCAACCAAATCATCCACCCCTTCTCCACCACCACAGAAGTTCGCGTGTCTCATCCCGCTAGTCGTCTCATCATCCCGCGTGCCCAACCCCACCGCACCTTGAGATCGAAGTCCGATAAGGCCTTTGGAGAAATGGCCAGATCCCTTCGCAGGACCTTCTTGAGCTCCTAAGACGAGCTACGCGCCTGCGCGGAGCGTTTCAAGGTCCTCAAGTACTTAAGTGCCTTTACAGTCCTCATCTTGACTTCACCATCTGGACATCTCCCAACAAAATCCACACCAAACCCATCCAGATTCCATTCCGCTCGCTTCATGTCTCCTTCCACCCGCCTTATATCATCCAGTTGGATCGATGGCTTGTCTCACGGCTCCTGGAAGCTCAGCTCCTCCGCGTGGCTGATGAAGATCTGGTCCCACGAGGCGCTCAGTTGCGCCTCCAATGGTCGACTCGGGCCGCCACTGGGCAGACTCGGTGAACGCGTATACTCGGTGAACGACCATGGCGGCTTGGCGGCTGGGGATTTCAAGAGCGAGCGGTCAAAAATGGAGGTGAAGAGTTCGTATGGTCATGATGTGGATTCGGTTTTCGGTGCCTTTTGACATTGCACTTACTTCTTTGAAATGAAGGTCCAGGAAAGGGGAGAAGTCATCACCTCTTCTTATGCCTGAGTTTACGGGGATTGTCTGTCAAGGCGTCCAAGCTGTCCAAGGAAACATCGAACAACCATGGCAGATCTGGCAAGCTTCTATCCGGCACGTGGTATTGATGTTCTGTCAATCGGGGCTCTCGAATATCGCCAACACGTACAACAGATGAAGTCCACGACATCCACTGTGAATTGTGGATGAAGTGATCTGTCAAAAGGGACCTCTTGGAAGCACCAAGAGGGATCTGGTCAAAAAGGAGCTCCAGGTGGCCTGAACCAGCTTCTGCCGGTTGGAGGCCATGTCCCTGGTGATCGGTTCGTGTGCCTTCGCGTTGATGATCAGCCTCCTTGCCCTCGCAACGATCTCCTGTGCGTCGCGGCGCCGACAGGGGTCTTCCAAGACATACCCATCCAACAAATGAATGGACTCTTGATATTCTGTATATCCTGCCGCTTGAATGTAGACTCTGGATGAAAAAAACAAACATGGATTGTAATATATATATATGGTTATGTAAACCCCGGCAAACCCCCATGGATTGTACAATATATGGTAAACAACCTCTTCATATGGGGTTGCCGGGGTTGACATATCATCAAGAGCCTACACCCTTCTGTATACCGTCTCGTCGGTCGGTCGCAAGCACGTCGAGCGTTGAGCTCGAGCGTTGAGCTGTAGTACCCGATCCTGCTGGTCCAATCGTGTCAACAAGCAAGTGTAATGGTGCAACTGGCTTCAAAACCTGGAATGGTGCAATAAGACTTAGTTCCCCAACTGCATGCAATCGATTGGAGCCGGGCCTTTTTGATTCCGTCACCGCTGTGAGAAAGCACAAGGGCAAGCTAGTTGGGGAAAAAGAACCTCGCATCAGAAGCTGCCTACAGCAACATGACTACCTGTGATTCAGCATGATGATTGACCCCAACAACATTCCACTCAATTCCAGCTTTGACACGAGAACCCCCTTCTCCTACATACGAATATTGAGTGTGTATCCACGGATGATCTACATGGTATAATATACACACCAAAACATATATCTACATATTGTCCTTTTTTGGGAGAGCATTTCTTCCCAGACTTCTGGTCCCTCCCACATATGGAATCATATCATATGGACCCAGACATACGACGAACGAGCATTCTGGCCCCACTTGCCTTGGCATCACTGGCCAAGCCAACCCGCGGAGCTCCACGTGGCTCGGGTAGCGGTACCCGATCGATGACCCACTTGGTGGTCTCCTCCTGGCCGGTCTGACTGGAGGATGTCATGGGAGAGCACCAGAAGCTAAGGGTAATGGCAAATTGGACATGATGTTGACATGGAGACATCTGATTTTCTTGTGAAAAGACTTGTGCCATCATGCCCTTGTGATCAGTTTTGGGTATCTTAGCTTCTGCTGGTCCAGTAGGTTTTTGCTCCTTCTGCGCAAATGGATCGCTGGCTCCACAATAAGATCGGCTTCGTGGGCGCATCGTCCGAAGGTGTCTGGTTGGGCAGATCTTGAAATTGATTCAAGATGGATCTGGATAATGGGTATAACGGCGGATCATATAAGCAAATGGTGTTTGGCATATACCGCCAGATCTTGAAGGTTGCCATCATGACAATGGCGGATCATGGCGGTATATCCCAAACACCTCGGTCCCTGTGGATGGATGGATAGGTTGCAGGCCGACATTTCTAAACTAGTGACGTTCTTGTTTATTGACTGTTGCAGGTCATAGGACACCCCAAGTCATCGCAGAAGACTAGTGTGGATGGACATGGGCCATCACGAGGAATTGAGGAATTCACACCTACAACACCTGAAACACCAAGGTTCGTTGGGCTGTAAACATGCTGCACATTGCTGCACCAACACAGACCGAAACCCTCCGAAACACCAACCACAAAACGCGGCAAAGCACCAGGACTGAAGACCTCCAAAACCAAACACCCTTCATGACTCTTCTCTTCGTGTCCTCATCCCTTCGTTCTCACTACCATCCATCCGTCGTGTCACGGTCCGGTCGGTGTCTCCTGGCGAAAGGGCGAGAGATAGAGTTTCTTCGCCTTTGCCTTTGAATGCAAGCATAGCTTCTCGTCGACGTCCCTTCCCATGAAGCCATACCTGAAAGGCCATGGTGGAGGGACGTAGGCACATGTGACAGCTATAGCTATACAGGCTATACATCAATGGGCCATGAGTTTGAAGATGTCTTTATCTACTTTCGTAGGACAATCCTTTCCAGGAGTGCAGAAAGCTCACCTGGAACACTCAAAGCTTCAACCTGCACATGTTCCGGGACACATCCGCTTCCCCCACAAACCTTGCCACGCTGCTCATGCATGACCTGCGTGAAGGCTTGCGGCCGCATGACCTGCAAAGATTTCTGCGGCAGTTTGGCAAGGCAGACCTCGCCGTATTCTAGACCCCGCCGTCTCTAAAGGGTTTGAGGAGAGTGGAGTTGCCACTTTGATTCATGTGGTGTCGCGGTGAGAACCCGGTCAGTAGCAATCCTAAGTGGCATGTTTCGATTGAACAATCAGCGCATTGACACATCCGAAAACCGCCAAGAGTCACAAACCAAAGGACAACATGATTTATGATGATTTGGTGGATGGTCAGGGTCACAGGACGACAAAATTCCTTTCAAAGACTCAACAGGTTGTCACAGGTTGTCCACAAACCAAACGAACGTTTGCAGTCGACACAACTTACCACAGCTTTTTCCGGCCTCCCTTGGTCGAACTTTCTATCCGAGAGGCAGGCGGAAAGGCTGACAGTGGAGAGGACAGCGTCCGCGCATGGTAGACCATGGCAGCGTTCGAGTGAGTTCTGATGCAAGTCTGCAATCACGCAAAGGCTGGCTACAGGATTAGCTACACGGGGTGTGTAACTACAGTGTGCATGTCAAAGAAACCTAGCAAAATCACCCCAGCACAGCTGCTTTACCTAGCAAAGCAAAATGAACCCTCACGGGTGTCCTTAGGGAGAGTATCAAACTGGTTTTTGTTCACTGGATCTGCAAGGTGATCTGGGCGGACTACCTCACCTTGATTTCCTTCGAGTTGAAAGCTTCAGCACAATTCCACATCTCTGCGGGATTTCCCGCAATTTGATCAAAATACATGTTTCAACTCATGTTGCATGTTTCTCAATAAGCGACAGTCTTGATCCAAACCACATGGGACACTTGGTCGGGCCTTCGGAACATGGGAACTCCGTCGGACGGGAGGCTTCGGATCTGAACAAGAACGACGCCTTCCCAGGGTTCTAGGTTGGAGGCCATCACTCCGAGGTTCCACCATTTCTGGTTCTTCACTATAGATAGATGTCCGGGCAGTCCCTGCGAGCAGCCCATCCACTCTCCATGCTCAAGTGTTCACCATGCTCACTTTCACTCACCAGGTCTATATGTTCCATAGCGGAAATTCGACTCTTTGGAACACTTAGATTGGATCCACAGTAAAACAAAAACACTGTAAAAACCAACGGAGGGACCCACACCCCTCGGACCCCGGTCGCAACAGGAACACCGGGTCTGACAGCTTCGCAAGAGCCCTGCGATGTTGACATCGATTGGATTTGAAGATGATTGAATCGGATGCACAAGTCGGCGGGGCGCGGGTTTGTAAGACTTTGTGCATTAGGTATACGTTCTTGCCGGATCGTTTGTCCAATCCATGACCAAGGCAATGATCCGAACCACCGATCCGCTGCCAAAGCACCGATCCGCTGCCTTCTTGAGCGGCTTCTTCCCGGTTTTGGCCATGAGGCGCCGATTCGAGGTTCGTACTCAGCTACGGTGTGAGCAGGGCACGGGGTGCGAGGCTACGGGTTTGGTGTGTCAGCTGGTGTGGCTCACATGCTTCGCTGGTCTGGTGTGTCACTGCGGAGCATTTGGCCCCGAGCTGGTTGGGCCACTCTGGGCCCGAGCTGGAGGTATCAGCTTTGGCATGGGTCGGGCATTCAACTCATTCTAGGAGCTTGGAAGACGCGAATTGGTCATAAACCTTCAATGCTATGCAGTTATGCCATATTATTCCTATGGAGCCCAGTTGCCTGGCATTCCTTTTGGCAACAACGGCGTCAACAAGCATCAAGAAAATTCAATGGTCTGTTCTTTTTCAGGGAAACAACCTCTGTCTGCAATTTTTATGCGAATATATAATGGACTCATGCTCAGTTCACTTCTTGACCTTTGAGCCTGGCTGCAATTCGTGAAAGCAGCAAAAACCAAGCAGCCAAAGCCCAGTCTACCTGGTCTACTGAGTCTCTTGTCAGCTCAAGGACAATGGCATCCATATTATAAAGTTGTTATATAATTGGAATTTATTTGGATGTTTTGGTAGATTGATGTAAATGGTTGGCTGTTAACGGTTTGTCCTCATCTTCCTGCACATCGAATACCATCTTCATCGTCCAAGCAGAAAGCCCCTCCGGAACCGGCGAAGGGTCCACGCCGCCACGCGTCCGCCACCGACTCCACTCAGGTTCTCTCGGGGCATCTGTGACCTTTTCAGCACCTGCGCGGGACTGTGCACCGCTCCGACACACCCGCGCGGGACAGAGGTTCATGGTGGTAGAAGGTCCCAAATCGCCAGCGCACCACACAGTGAAGCAGCTGCAACAGTGAAGAGAAGCAGTTCCTGGGGCCCCACAAGTTGCCCACAAGAGCGGACCCGATCCAACCACCCTTGGATACGTTGGACCTTGTGTGACCTACGACCATCCGGTTTTCATCCTTGAGACAGAGACGTTGGTCCAAACATGAAAAACTATATATGATTGGGATTGATTGATTGGGTTACCATCAATGCTTCAAAACATCGGGCACAAAAACATGGGGTACACTCTGACTCACTAACATGGAAGTGGAGATTGCCTGTTGGTATTCGGATGTATTCGGAAAGTAGTCTTCCAAACCACCATTGTCCACTTCCTTGTTGGTAAAGCCTTTCATCAAAAGGAAAATTCATTAAACATTGACCAACAAAGCTCTTTAACTTTTTGAAATCCCTGTATCTTCTTGGAACCACATGGGGGCGGGGACACATCCACTCCAATCTATGTACCCTCCCTCCATCACTCATGGAAGTGAATCACATGACCATGAAATCCTCTACAAACAGGGGATGCGTCCACCATCTTTCTTGCAAGGAGGGCACATACCCCGTCACCTCCATCAATCTGTGCCTGGTGACCACAGCCATTGCTCCCATCCTGGGCATGAGACTCACCGTGCCCCAGTTCAACAGCGAGTGCGCGGGCGCAGTGGCCAGGAAGATCCAGGGTGACACCGCGCCGTAGAGTGACCTGCGAGTCGATCCATCGCCCACGACGCAACCCGCCGACGAAAGGGTGACACTGAAAGGGCGACGCCGAGGACGAGATGCTGTTGCACAGCAATTCAGCTTGCAACAGGGTCCAACAGCCCAACGAACCCTTCAGAAACTCCCTCCTTCCATCTCCTTCCTATACAAACGCATCAAACACCACGTTGTTTGACTTCATCTTCGCTTGGGGAGTGTGCCATGAAGCACAGGGGTGTGCTGGCTGTCCAGCCGATGTTCCGCCCAGCAAAGTGTGTTCCATGCGTCTGAGCATGTCCAAATGCTTATACGGACATGGTTTGTACTTTTTGCTGGAGTGCTTGGTTGCAGCTTGGCAGAGTTTGGTAGAACCTCTTTCAAATCCTACATGTTCCACCAACCCACACACCCAACTCCTCAGTGTAGCGGGTAAGCGTGACTGGGTGTAATGTGGTGTTTTCGGGTTCGGCTGCACTCGGTGCGCTGCACTCGGCGCGCTGCGTTGCACTCGGTGCGCTGCACTCGGTGCGTTGCACTCGGTGCGATGCACTCGGTGCGTTGCACTCGGTGCGTTGCACTCGGCGCGTTGCGCTCGGGGCGCTGCACTCGGTGCGTTGCACTCGGTGCGTTGCACTCGGTGCGTTGCACTCGGTGCATTGCACTCGGTGCGGTGGTAGTATTATAGTAGTAGTAGTAGTAGTAGTAGTAGTAGTAGTTGTTGTTGTTGTCGTCGTCGTCGTCGTCGTCGTCGGCAGTAGCAGTAGCAGTAGCAGTAGCAGTAGCAGTAGCAGTAGCAGTAGCAGTAGCAGTAGTAGTAGTAGTAGTAGTAGTAGTGACAGACAATGGTAGTAGGTTGCACTCGGTGCGTTGCACTTGGTGCGCTGGTTCTCGAGTAGCTGCAGTCGCTGATCGCCGCCACAATGTGCTTTGAATGCAATCAAATGCATCATCACTCAGCAACAAACTATATTGTCTGCAACGCCATCCAGGTCTGAATTCTCGGCTGCTTTTCCCATGCAAAGCATTGGTGGCTCAAAGCCTCATCCGCACTACACCGACGTTGCGGCTTGCGGTTTAAAGCTCACCGGAGCAGCTGAAGGATCTCTTTGCATCCCTTACCGCATTTGTTGAACCTGAGAGGAAAGAGCTTTCAAAAGCTGAGAGTTGTGGCACTAGCCAACAGTAACACATTGAGGCTTCGGCAGGATCTGTTCTCGCTGAATTTGAATCTTCAGCAAGGCATCCTGCTCTTGGCGTAGCAGCCTCGGTTATATATCAATCTCAGGCATGTTCGGGCGATGTTCACTCGTTGGCCGAGTCCATATTCATCTGAGTGGCGGGGGCTTGGGCCCCAAATCCCATGGAAGGTCACCATACAGCAACCAATACGATGTTAAAGCCCACGCCCATACATCCACCTTGAGGTCGCAGCTGCGGGCTAGCAGCATGTCAGGGGCAATGAAGGGCAAGGTGCCAACAATCCTTGCAATCTCTCAGCTCAATCACCACAGAACCGAACCCATGGTTCAATCCCAAGTTTATGGTTTCATTGCGTCAACTTTAGATAGGTGAAGGTGAGAGTCGTAACCCAAACTTTTGGAGGGCCACTTCTGCCAAGGCCGGCTCTCCCTCGGTTGGACAGTTGCTAACCCAAAGTCGCCCAGCTTGCAGCCGCAAGGTGGGTCAACTTGAGACACCAGCACATTGTCTGGCTTGATGTCTCTATGGGCAACACCTAGCGTGTCGAGGTGCGCCAGGCCTTCCAATATCTCCTGGGATGCTCAAGAATAATAGACAACTTGTGAGTTGCAAACTTCAAAAACGACTCTTGTCTTCCAACTTTCGTTTCAATTCGATCATATTCGAGCTTCTCGGCACGCTTGTTCGTAATGATGGGCCGGCAGCTGGCCATTGTACAGCCTCACGGCCTCACGTCCGACAGTGTGCCGGACATGAGTTCCAGCAGCACGCGCCGGCCCGCCACGCCGAAGCAATGGAGGACACGCGGGCGCTGGCAGCGGATCAGCAACTCCGCCTCAACGGCGTGACCCACCTTGGTGGCAGAGGGAGGGATCAATCACTTGCAAATTTAATACCGTCGATTTCCAGCACGTTTTTAAATAAATAGAAGGTATGCATCAGCAATCCACCCACCCCGCCCGCAGCCCGCCCGACAATTATGGATCAAGTGAGATGGCTGGCGTGGCATGGGAAACCTGACCTTTCAGGCACAAATGAGAGAAACAAAGGATCAAGAAGGGAGGGGGCGATAGAGAGAGAGAGAGAGGCAGTCCTTGGCCGGTCCATTGGCCCTTGCGATCCATTGTTCCACAATCCCCTCTCTAGCAAATTATGTCATTTTCCCTTATTAAAACTCTATCAAAATCTTAACAGGCTCTAGCTCACACCCACTGCTGGTGGCTTGTGGATTGCGTTGGTCCTTGGCTTTGGTGTGGGATCTCAGGGTGTGCGATGTCATCTGCCGTCAGCGCAATATACCAGGCCATTTCAATATCTTCTGATTGGTTTCATTGCAATTTGGTCGGCTTTTGGATTCTCTACATCATTGTGGGAAAAGGTGCAAGAAGGTGGGAAGCCAGCCAAAGTCCGGACAAGGAACACGAGTTCATGCGTTCTTCTCTCTCATATCATTTTGATTAATTGCTTGTATTTGAAAGTGCACTGGTCGGTCGTGAACTTGTAAGACCGTGTGCGCAGGAGGAACCTACATCATTCAGTGTACATTCAATTTGACATACATATATATATATATAGGATAGGTTGATCAAGGAGAGAACAAGGTATACGTTGTTTGCCATCGGGGCAAGGTCCACGAGGGATGGGTCCTTGCAGAACAGACGAAATGCCAAGAGGGAAGCTGCGATACTCTCACCTGGAATTGCTCTTGGCTCACATTGTCTGTCATTTTCCTTCTTGATTCAGACATAGTCCCAATCCATGCAAAGGTCTGCAAAGAATACATTGATGTGAAGGCGCGACCCATGAAAGGTGGGCCGTGCAAAACAATGGTGCAGTGACCGCGGTTTTTCCCTGCGCCGGTCAATTGCCAACAGTGTGAAAGGATAAGGGCAAGTTTGTAGGCCCTCGTTCCTCGAGCTTAGTCCGACATCGAAAATGGTCCGGGCTCCGAACGTTGGAGGCCATCGCTCTTAGGTTGGACGTCATCTACTAGGTTGGAGGCATCGCTACTAAAGTCATTGCATTTTCAAACAGAAGATATTAGAAAACAGATTAAATAACAGCTAGTAGGTTGGAGGCCATCGCTCTTAGGTTGGAGGCCATCGTTACTAGCTACCAGGTTGGAGGCAACCACTACTGGCCACCGCTACTGGGCTGCAGGCCATTGCAATTCCTATCTTTAAAGTAGAGAAATAGAAGATATTTGAGAAAATATTAAATAGCCGCTAGTAACAGGTTGTGGGCCGCCGCTCTCAGGTTGGAGGCCATTGCTACTAGCTTGGAGGCCATCACTACTAGGTTGGAGGCCTACTAGGTTGCAGTCCATTGTAATCCCTATCTATAAAGTAGAAGTATCAAATAGAAGATAATGCGCATAGACTCATAGACCTTCTGGTCAGCATCCATTGTTTAATTTCATTTTTAGAACTCTATCAAAATGTTAACATTTTCTCTCACAAAGGGTACCAAACTTCTCAAAAGAGTGGTGAGGGCTCCTGTCACATCCTTCGAACAGACTGTAAACATAGTCTTTCAACGTGTTCTCTTTACATCTACTTGGGGAGACCTAGCTAGACCCCGAAAGATAGCACTCCTGTGCTGGCGCCTGGTTCGCCCAGGCCGGAACTCTTGCGTGGAGGGTATTTCACCGCCGCGCTGTTCTCCTATTTGAAACCGCAATTTTGGACATCGGACGGTGTCCGCCCTTCCTCTTTATCGAGGTCCTTTCTTCTTTTTGAAACCGTGCTTAGCTCCCTGACTAAACCGTCCACTTCTGTTTGAAAATATGCTTTCTTCGTATCTTCTAGAGTAGTCGTCTGGAGTACGCCAACCAGATGCTTGAGATAGTGGACGAGTTGACTACACCACTAACAACCGGGTTGAGGAAGACTTGGTATATGGAGAGACCAAATTCCTCACAATGCCCAGATTCTTCAAATTTCCGATTGCAAGTGGGACCGCTGCAATCGCTGATCTGACTGGCGTCCTGAGGCATTTGGAAGCAAACTATGACAAGATCCAACTTCGGCCATAGTCACCAGAGTATCCAAACTATGACATGCTACGGCCTGAGGCTCGATTCCTGCTACTTACTGCAACCCACAGCAACCAATGCAGTATATGCAGCGCAGCAGCCTTTTCCGACCCAAAGATTTGAAAGGGGGAAGTAGTAGTAGTAGTAGTAGGTTGCACTCGGCGCGTTGCACTTGGTGCGCTGCACTCGGTGCGTTGCACTCGGTGCGTTGCACTCGGTGCGCTGCACTGGGTGCGCTGCACTCGGTGCGCTGCACTCGGTGCGTTGCACTCGGTGCGTTGCACTCGGTGCGTTGCACTCGGTGCGTTGCACTCGGTGCG